ATGACCCTCAGCATAGCGCCAGATTAGCTACAGAGAGGCTTCAGGACAACAGAGTCAGTGTTGTGGAGTGGCCATCACAAAGCCCTGACCTCCATCCTGGAGAACATCAGTGGAGAGAGGGGGACCAACAAACCTGACTCAGTTCTGTCAGGAGGAACGGGCCAGAACTCATCAAACTGTTGTGAGAAACTTGTGGAAGGAAACCCAGAACATTTGAGCCAAGTCATAGAGTTTAAAGGCAACGCTAGCAGATACTGAGGAGATGGATGGAAACGTCTGGTTCCAACTGTACGTATACGGTCAGAACTTGTAACAGGACAAATTGTGCTTTTTCAAAATTCTGGCTGTATCGACAGATGTTCTTTATAGTTTAGTTTAGTTTTTTTTAATGCCAACAGCTAAATTAATACATTTTTTCTGTGATTTCACTAATTATTATTATTATCTGTCTGTATCCTGCCTGTAGTTTAGCTCACTGTCTCCCCCTGCTGGCTGGTTGCTGCCTGTTGACTTTCTTTAAACTACAGAAAAGAGTTATTTTTCTCTTTAAGACTTTCACCATAAACAGACACATAAACCAGGACTCTGTTCTGCCACAAACAGCCACATTCTCTACTTTTTATCTTCTAGTTTTTCTTGTCTTTACTTGCTGTAAATGTTAATACACGAGACACAACTCTAAAAGCGACTCTTTGTTTTGTTAGTCACTGTTTAAAGGTCCCCGTCTCCTGATTCCTTTTTTTATCTGCCCTTCACTTCTACACGCCTTTATTTGGTTTCTTTCGCCCTCCTCTTTCTCTTTCTCTGCCACCTTCTCGTTTAATTCTGTGCAAACAACTCGACAAACAAACTGAACCAACACCAGAGTTGAGCTGCGGCGATAAATCCGAAGGCAAACAAGCAGGTTTGATTTGCTCGGAGCTCTGACAACATCTGAAATGAAGAAATGCAGCTCTGAAAGGTCAAACTGTTGATTGAAGAAAGGAAAGTGACTCCATAAAAGGAGGAGGAGGAGGAAGAGGAGGAGGAAGAGGGGGAGGAGGAGGAGGAGGGTCCAGCTGTGACCTGACGTGACTCTTCATCCTCAAGGCTCCTGCTGACCTCAGAAATATTCACCCCGAACAAACACCAACTGCAGCAACATGTCTGGGAACAGCTGCAGGCGGCGCTGCTGTCAGGACACATCTGCTGCACATCTGCTGCACATCTGCAACACTTCAGCGTCTGCAGAGGAAACTCAGATGTAACGTTTTGAGGACAACCAACTGAGGTGGAGTTTCTGGGGTGTTCACATTATTTTGTCCATCCCGCTGTGGGTTTCCTGTTGTGCTGTCTGTAATCCAGTCCAGATGGGGCGTGGTCCGCAATCAGACACATTCCTGCAGATCAGACAAGTTCCCCGGAGCGACGCGCGGACGAAGAGCGGAGCCCTTCAAAATAAAAGCTCTGAGCTCAACAGGTTTTATTTGCAGTGAAATGCAAAGTCACTGATCTCAAGGCGACAACAATAAGACATCGATCTGTTTTAGGAAACTATGAAAAATTAGAAAACATAACAATGTTATACATAATAATGCTTCATTCCAATTAAAGCCGTCTGTGATGAATTACTGTAAATATTTAAGTTCTAACATCAGGGTTCTGTTCTTACAATTTAAGGATGAATAATGTGGCTGCTTCTCTTTAGGAGCCAAAAACAAGAATTTAAAGCCTTCTGTTGTAAACACAGACCGTCCAGATTGAGCAAGAAACAGTTCACAAAGCACAGTTTAGACAAGAGACTTGGTTTAAGCAGTGAAGAATATAAAACTGACTTCACACTGATGCCCTGCACTTAAAAAAAAGAAAGAAAAGAAGTGTAATTGTCTAATTAAACTGTGTTCAACCAACCAGCTCTACTGGATCAGCAGAATAAGCTTATTTCCTTGACAATCAAAAGTATTTTTCATACGTAAGTTTTAAGTTCTTACTCCAAAAAAAAAAGTTTTTCCAGCTCGTTTTTTTCACGTTATTTAAAAATAAATGTTTGTGTTATATACTTAATCATGAACACATTTATTTAAATTGACAAATAGTAATCTAAGTTTCTCCAAATAGATTTTATTCAGCAGTTTTTATCTTTATCTTTTTTTCATTTATTCATTTTGAAACGAAATTGTTCGCAAATTACTTTTTTTTAAAACTTTGAACTGCAATTGTGCATTTCAGCACATGATATTTAAATCCTGAAAGCAAAACATTTTATTAAATCCATATAGAACATAAATAAACATGAATTTGCCTCTCAAGCTGAGCAGATTTTTAAAAAATAAAACTTGATCAAAACCTAAAATAGTTAAACCAGTGAGTCACTACAGAAAAAAACACTTCCATTATAATGTTTATTAAAGGCAATTTTACTGTTTTATACATGTTTTTTTAAAATTGTTTGTTGGTTTAATCCGTTCGCTGGGCCTGATTTCAGTACATTTGTCCGGTTTTGGGAGCTGTACGTTTTACTGTGAAGGTCTGACCGGAAGTCGCCGCCCTCGCTGCCGCCGCCTTGACTCGTACAGACAGCGCTGCAGCAGACGGAGCGACTTTTGTTGAGACTCGGGATCAATACGGATCATAGCAGCGTGTGATCGACCTGCAGCGGGATGAGCAGCGCAGGTAGGCCCCTAAACTCACCATCACACACCGCAGCACGGCGAGCAGGAGCCTGAAGGCAGCACCGGCCTCCTGCAGCTGCTGCAGGCTGAGCTGCTCCACATTACATGCCCCGGAGGCAAATATCTCAATGCACAGACCAGCACCACCTAAAAGTCAGGGTTCAGGGTCCAGCTTTAACTTTGTGCAGCTTCTGACTTCAACAGAACAGATTAAAAAAAAACAGCTCGTGTCCAACAGAGAGTCCGTTTTCCTGCAGAACTTATCTTTTTTTTTTTTTTTTTTTTAAACTGGCACTTAATGTGACCAATTACCAGGATGATGAAATCAGAGTCAGGAGGCTGAATAACAGGTTAAATATAATTGTTGTTTATCTGCAGACAAACAGCTGAGAGTTGATAAAGGAAACGTGAGCTGAGCTGGAGCTGCAGGGGCGTCCCCACAAGGTTTCACAAGGGGGGCACCGAAACCCAGAAACAGAACCGAATGTCAGGGATTCTGGTTGTTCAGAGGCGGATTAAAGCTGTACCAGCGTGAGAGCGAACGGATAACACACTCTGGCTTCTTGTTCTCCAGGTACAGCTGCTGATTATCTCAGATTTTTACACTATTTTTCATTCAGGAGGCTTTGAGGGGACAGTTCACCTGTGATGTGTTCGAGTACACCTGGGTTAATCAGGTCTTGTTTGTAACTCATGACAGTGAAAGAAAAAAAAAAAGCCCAGTATGGATTCACTGACATGCAGGAAATGTCATATTTTCCCCCGTGGTCACGTCCGCCGAACCTCCACTGTTGATCGAGCGTCGAAAAACGTCTGTAAATGCTTCAATTTATGGGTCTTTCAGGTGTTTTGTGTTTAAAAGATAAGCCGAGCTTGTTTTTCCGTGACTGCGGGGTTTATTAGAACTTCAGCTCTGCTAATGTGCTTATCTTCCTGCTTTCAGTGTCAATTAGCTGCGACCTGTGACACGCAGCCAATCAGAGAGCTGCGTGGGCGGGGCTTGTTCTGGAACCAGGAAGTGACGACAGATGCATGATTAGAGGAAAACTGGCCTCGATAATCAGTAATAAAACCCAGTCCGGGGCTGCAGATATCCGTACTTTCTGTGTGCAAAAGCTCAATTAATTCAGAAAAGAGACGTAAAAATGTGATTCTCCTCGTTGGAAAGCCGTAGACGTTGATGCTGATTTGATGAAGCCGACATTCTTTGGTGCTGAGAGTATGAGCGACTCCTGATGTTCAGCACAAACTGGAGCCAACATCGACCCGAGTCGCCTCCCAGCAGACAGCGGAGCCATTAATCGATTCGTTCCAAACTGTTGAATTAATCCGTTTGAGCCATTTTTTAATTAGAAAAGCGTGACGTCTGTGAGTCCAGCTCCTTAGACGTGAACATGATCTGGTTTCTTTGCTCTTCTGTGACAGCAAACTGAATATTTTTGGATAAA